TTTCTCCCCTGTGCCACCAGACCTATAGACACTGTTCCTTCTTTAAAATGCCACAGAAAATGCAGAAAATAATCAAGAAAGCTAATGCAAAGCTGGCCTTTATATCTGGACGACCGGAGTTGAAGGACACAGAAGTTATGCTGCAGTTATACAAAACCCTGGTTAGACCCCACTCGGAGCACTGTGGGCAGATCTGGGCACCACACCTTAGAAAGAATAGAATGGAAAGAGTTTACAAGAATGGTACCTGGACTTCAGGGGTTAAGCTATCAGGAGAGATTATATGAATTAAGACTGTTTTCTCTAGAATTTTGAAGGTTAAGGCGTGATCTGATTAAAGTCTTCAAGATGTAGATATTTTCTAATTAACTTCTTGAGGTTTATAAAATTATGAGGGGCATAGATAAGTTGAATAGACAAGGTCTTTTCCCCAGGGTGAGGGAGTCCAAAACTAGAGGGCATAGGTTTAAGGTGAGAGGAGATAGATTTAAAAGTGACCTGAGGGATGAATGTTTTACACAGAGGGTGGTTCATATGTGGAATGAACTACCAGAGGAAGTGATAGATGCAGGTATGATTACAATATTTAAAAGGCATTTGGTCAGGTATGTGAATAGGAAAGGTTTAGAGGGATATGGGCTAAGTGCAGACAAATGGGACTAGTTTAGTTTGGGAAACTTGGTCAGCATGGATGAGTTGGACTAAAGGGTCTGTTTCTGCGCTGTAAGACTCTATGGCTCTCTATTAACCTGGAAAGACAGGGTATATAAAGATAAACTATTTCCATTGGTTGGGGATTCTAGAACTAGGAGGTATAGTCTGAGCATTAGAGCCAGATCATTCAGGAGAGACGTTAGGAAGAACTTTGACACACAAAGGGTGGTAGAGGTTTGGAATTCTCCGCCACAAGTGGCAGTGGATGATGGATCATTTGTTAATTTTAAATCTGTGGGAGATAAATTTTTGTTTAGCAATGGTATTAAGGGATATGGGCCAAAGGCAGGTCTATGGAGTTAGGCCACAGGCCAGCTATAATCTCACTGAATGGAGGAACAAGTTTGATGGGCTGAATGGCCTAATCCTGTTCCTATGTTGTTATTATTCATGAGCAAACCTTCAACATCAATGTTACTTGTGGCACGTTTGTGGCAGCATTCCTTCTGAGCTAGATAGCTCTGCATACGAGATTCACTTGAGGACTGAAGCATAAACATATAAACTGACACTCCAGTGCAGTCCTGACAGAGTGCCGCACTGGCAGAGGTGCTTTGGATGAGCTAGCGAGGCCCAGCCTGCTCCCTCATGGCTTTGTAAATGGTCCCCAAGCACCAGTCTGAAGAAAAGCATGGGGTGCAGGCAGGTTCGATCGAGGTATTCAAGACTGTCAGTGGATGATTATTTGGAGAGAAATGGTTTGCAGGGATATGGGGAAAATGCAGGTGACTGGAGCTAGGTAATAGAACTGGTGCAGGCATAATAGGCTGAATGGCCTCTTTCTGTACTATACCAATTCTGCGATGTGTCCTGATCAATATGTACTCTTGATCAACAATATAAAAATCTGGTCATCAACAAAACTATTTGTGGGAGCTTGCTGTGCTCAAATGGCTATGTTTATGACAGCGCAACACTCTGATTACATTTCCCGAAATACGTTATTGACTGTAAATTGCTTTTCAATATCTAATGATGATGAAAAGTACTTTTGTTTATTCTTCTTTGGGATTTGACCATTTATTGTCTGGCTTGAACTGAGTAATTTGCTACGGCCAATTCAGACCATTGCTGAGACATTGCTGTGGGTCTGGAGTCACCTGCAGGCCAGAATGAAATGAAATTAGTGAAGTGGGAGGGAGGGTGTTGGGGGTGGATGTGGTTTCACGAAAGTCAATCAGAACCCCTGTCACCCTCACGAAACTAGATTTATCAACTGATTTTAAGTTCCATTAACTGCTGTGGAGGGATTGGAACCCTCGTCCTCAGCTACATTCCCTGTCATTGTTCCTGTCGCTGAGTAGACCTCTGAAGCCCATGCACACTAGCAGCTTCTGAAATTGGGAGTCAATGCATCAGCTCCCTCAAGATATATAAATACTTCTTAAAATGTAGACATATAGCCACAATCAATGGTCTGAGCTCTGCAGTGCTACCACATCCAATCATGAAACATAGAAACATAGAAGATAGGAGCAGGACGAAGCCACTCGGCCCTTTGAGCCTGCTCCACCATTCTTCACAATCATGGTTGATCATCCAACTCAACAGCCTCATCCTGCTTTCTCCCCATAACCTTTGATCCCATTTACCCCAAGTGCTATATCTAGTCGCCTGTTGAATACATTCAATATTTTGGCATCAACTACTTCCTGTGGTAATGAATTCCACAAGCTCACCACTCTTTGGGTGAAAAAATGTCTCTTCATCTCCGTCCAAATGCTCTACTCCAAACCCTCATACTGTGACCCCTGGTTCTGGACACACCCACCATTGGGAACATCCTCCCTGCATCTACCCTGTCCCGTCCTATTGGAATTTTATAAGTCTCTATGAGATCCCCGCCTCATTCGTCTGAACTCCAGCGAAAACAATCCCAACCTTGTCAATCTCTCCGCACATGTCAGACCCGCCATCCCCAGAATCAGCCTGGTAAACCTTCGCTGCACTCCCTTGAGAGCAAGAGCATCCTTCCTCAGAAAAGGAGAACAAAACTGCACACAATATTCTAGGTGTGGTCTCACCAAGGCCCTGCATAACTGCAACAACACATCCCTGCTCCTGTACGCGAAACCTCTCACAATGAAGGCCAACATACCATTCGCCTTCTTTACCGCCTGCTGTACCTGCATGCTTACCTTCAGCGACTGGTGCACAAGGACACCCAGGTCGCACTGCACACTCCCCTCTCCCAATTTACAGCCATGGTGGTGGACACTTAACTCACTGGAGGAGGAGTCTCCACAAATATCCCCATCCTCAATGATGGAAGAGCCCGGAACATCAGTGCAAAAGATAAGGCTGAAGCATTTGTAGCAATCTTCAGCCAGAAGTGCTGAGTGGATGATCCATCTTAGCCTCCTCCAGTGGTCCCCGGCATCACAGATACCAGTCTTCAGCAAATTTGGTTCACTCCACGTGATATCAAGAAATGGCTGGAGACACTGGAAATTGCAAAGGCTATGGGCCCTGATAACATTCCAGCAATAGTGCTGAAGACTCCAGAACTTGCCAGTCCCCTGACCAAGCTGTTCCAGTACAGTTATAACATTGACATCTACCCGGCAATATGGAAACTTTTTTTTTAACTCACTTGTGGGACATGGGCATCACTGCCTGGGCCAGCATTTATAGTCCATCCCTCATTGCCCTTGAGAAGGTGGGGGTGAGCTGCCTTCTTGAACTGCTGCAGCACCTGTTCTGTAGGTAGACCCACAGTGCCCTTGGGGGGAGGGGGGAGCGGGGAGCGGGGGTGTGTTCCACTACTCCATTGACTGCAATGATTCAAGAAGGCAGCTCTTCACCACCTTCTCTGGGGCAATATGGGATGGACAATAAATACTGGTCCAGGCAGCAATTCCTACATCGTGGGAACGAATATAAGGACAAGGCTCCTCAGGAAAAAAAGGACATTGAACCAAAGGTGGAGATTTTTGCCCAGGGGACTAAATGCTTGCTCAAGAGATAGGTTTTAAGAAGCTCCTTAAAACTGAGAGGGTGTGTGCTGCAGACATTTATCATAGAATCCCTACAGTGTGGAAACAAGCCCTTCTCCCGACAAGTCCACACTGCCCCTCAGAGCATCCCACCCAGACCCATCCCCCTAAACCCACCTAATCTACACATCCCTGAATACTACGGGCAATTTTAACATGGCCGATCCACCTAATCTGCACATCTTTGAACTGCGGGAGAAAACTGGAGCACCATGCCTGGCAGTTAACTATCATCCAGAATCACTAGGTACATTCTCCATAGCAAAGCCTCTACCAATCAGGGTCCACTAGCCAACCAATCACCACTCTCCTCTCATACAGGATAGATATTAATCTTCCCCTTGAGCTGGTATTCTTGCGAATTGTCCTGATAAGTGTGAGACAAAAAGCTTTGACAAAATTTTTCTGCAATGTTGAAGGTCTGTGCAATGAAATGACTATTTGAAAGACAGAATGAAAGAGGACTCTAGCTGTTAGATGTCAGTGGACTTTGGGATGGAGAAGGGGATATTGCAGGAAGGTCAGTGCTTGTGAAACATTGACTTCCTTTTGGTTATTTGCCTCTGTAAGTAAGATTGCAGAATCGTATAAACACAGATAAAGGCCATCCAGCCCATTATACATATGCTGGCTCTTTGAAAAAGCAATGCAATTTGGAGAGATGATGGCCTAGTTGTATTATTGCTGGACTATGAATCCAGAAACCCTGGTAATGTTCTGCAGGGCCTGTGTTTGAATCCCATGGTAGATGGTAGAATTTGAAGTCAATAAAAAGGTCTGGAATTAAGAGTATAATGATGACTCTTGTTGACTGTTGGGAAAACCCCATCTGGTTCACTAACGCCTTTCAGGGAAGGAAATCTACCCTTACTAGGTCTGGCCTTCATGGGATTCCAGACCCACAGCAACATGATTGATTCTTAACTGCCTTTGGGGCAATAAATACTAGTCTGGCCATTGATGGTCATAGGTTATGAATGAATAAAAGTTAAAGAACTTCTCTACCCTTTGCCAATAACGCAAAAGGTTTTCCTTTCAAGTACTTATCGCTTGTGGCTTGTTATTGGAAATGGTAGTCAACACTAAACAGCATTGACATTGAGCTCCCAGGAAATTTCTGCCTTTCAGTCAGTTGAAAGAAGGAGAGCTGCATAGCTTTGAAACAGGGATTGGAGGCAAAGACTTGGAAACTCAAACACATTAGCCCTTTGCTTAGTACGAGATGGCAGTTCATCTAGATCCACCTCCATTTCCCTCACTTTCTGTGCACCAGACTGGGAGGATACTCACTGTGGGGGCGAATCCTGATACATCACATTGATTTGGGACAGTGTCTCAATGTAGGAGTCGATATCGAAAGTCGGGGGATACTCTTCGACACAAGTTGATTGCAGTTCTCCAACAGATCCTCCAAATGAGAAACCATCTGGGGCTGTGGGGTAGAAACATGGAGACTGTTTATTACCATCTCAGTTCAGTAACATAGTGGTGATGGTACTGGACTAATAATTCACAGCAATAATTCAAAATACCACAGGGGAGGCAATGGTCCAGTGGTATTATCAGTACAGGTACTTTCCAGGTACTTTCCCTTGTTTGCCTGAGAGACTGGTTGACTGGTTCACATTTACAATGTCTTTGACTTATTGGTAAAAAGCCACAACCTAGAGCAGCTGAAGAAAGAAATAAACGGGCTTTCCTCAGGGATTTTACTGTAGAGAGAAAGACCACAGTTTCCTTTCTGAGGGCTCAATGGTTTCTCAACAAACATTCCCTCCCACAAGCTGTTCAGTTCCTGGACACCAATCACATTGCTGTTGACAGGCTGGAGGCCTTTGTCATTGACACCTGGTCACGACCCCACAGACCAGTCAGCGGCTTGTTCCTGGCCGAATCTCCCTTCGAACATGCCCCTCAGCTCCAGCTCACTGAGAGTAACCACCCTCCGCTACTGCTTGAACAAGTAGCTGCGTAAATAGCAACTACACTGAGTGTCTAGTAACTTACTTTTAAAAAGTACAGCGATCCTTTCTACATTCCTTGTTTTTTTAAACACCATCTTTTTCATTTTTCAGTTCATAATCAAAAATATAAAGAAGTAAAAAGATACGGCCTTTAACCACAGCATCTGGTGGATTTTTAACGTCCCCTTTCAAGCCCCTCAGCTTTATTTAAAATGGTGGCCTAATATCACTGACTGTGATTTTCCAAAATTCCCTAGATTCTATATGAAATGTGACACTGCTGTTCCAGAAAAGGAGAGAGAAAACAGAGAACTATACGGTCATGCTGATATCAGTATTGGGAAAATGCTAGAAGTCTTAAGTAAAAGTAAAGTTACCACAGTCCCAGAGGACTGTGGAGCTGCTGACTCATTGGAGAGAAGACTGGTGGTGGTGTAACCTGAGGATCACCATACTTCAGACAAGGGGAGAGGTTGAGAAGGAAAGTCCTTCATAGTAACCTCATTCAGTGAGGGAATCGAACCCACATGGTTGACATCACTCTGTGTTGCAAACTAGCTGTCCAACCAACTGAGCTAACCAACCCTAACAGTGCTCCTCCTGTGGAGATAGCAAGAACTGCTGATGCTGGAGTCTGAGATAACACAGTGTAGAGCTGGAGGAACACAGCAGGCCAGGCAGCATCCGAGGAGCAGGAAAGCTGATGTTTCGCGTCGGGACCCTTCTTCAGAAAAAATTTGAGATGTGGTCTCAATGCACTGTAAAAGTGAAGTGCAACATCTACCAGACATTTATGTTGAGTTCCAAAGGATAGCATCTTATTAGCCTTGCTATGCTTGCAAACTAACCTTTTGTGACTCATGCACTGGAACATCTTAGATCCGTCTGCACCTCAGAATTCTGCTGTCATTCTCCATTTAATTAACAGCTTTCCATTGTTCTTTGACCTCTGAATGTGAGGCTATCCTCTGATGTTATAGGGTGGGCCCCTCCTGCCTCCTGTAAGGCTGCACACAATTCAGAGCTGGCTTTGAGACAGCTGGACTGGCTGTTCACCGCTTTTGGAAAGGTCAGTCACTGTTCACAGGGCTGGGAGGATCAGGCCACAAGCTGCTGATATCAAAGAATGTCAGGTACTTATTCCAGGGAGCAAGAACTGCTCTTTCCTGGGCCAACACACCCACTTATAGCCATCACATC